CAGTCCGGATAACACGATATGTGGTGTGGGAGGGACTTTGACGGCGATAGACAATTTGGGTCAAATCGGAGACTCGTTGGGTTACCCGAAGAGAAGCGTAAGCACGTTTGTGTCACTCGTAAGCATATGGAATTACTATGGTCGTGTGGTTTCAGGTGTGGTCTCTGAGATCTTCTTGATCAAATACAAATTTCCAAGACCTTTAATGCTCACAATGGTCCTCCTCTTGTCCTGCGCTGGTCATCTCCTCATCGCTTTTAATGTCCCCGGTGGACTCTATGTCGCATCGGTCATCATAGGGTTTTGTTTCGGTGCGCAATGGCCGCTTCTATTTGCAATAATATCCGAGATTTTCGGGCTTAAGTACTACTCGACGTTGTATAACTTCGGGTCAGTCGCGAGCCCGATCGGGTCTTACTTACTCAACGTTCGGGTCGCAGGGTATTTGTACGACGTGGAGGCGGGTAAGCAATATAAGGCATTAGGGAAAACGAGAGTAGAAGGGCAAGATTTGAATTGCATAGGCACGTCTTGTTTTAAGTTGTCTTTTATAATAATTACTGCGGTAACTTTGTTTGGTGTATTGGTCTCGATGGTTTTGGTGATCCGGACCAAGAAGTTTTACAAAAGTGATATCTACAAAAAGTTTAGAGAAAAAGCGTTGGCTGCTGAGATGGAGATGGCAGCGCCGGCTGCGGCCAGATCTACCGTGGCGGAGGAAGATAAGGATGGTGTTAAAGGCAAAGTAATAGGCAAAGGAGGGTAAATTAGTAGATGATTGTTAAAGATACTAGATAACAAAAGACGGTCAAGTATTTTGTAAACACTTCCCCAATGTGAAACCTATCAATCGGTCACTAATGTTTTTCATTGATAGCTTTTTGTTTTGTTTTTGAGGCAATACTTTATATTTGATGTTTTTATCGTTTTGCGTTTTAGGAGTTTGGATAGTAGTGAAGGGGTGAAATTTGGAGATAGGTAAGGGTCATGAGTCAACTTATGAGTTGGACTTGTGATTTTGTGAGCCACAAGAGATTACTTTGAACAAATCATTAAAAGATAAAGAACTAAATTATTGCAAGTGGGAGGACTTGGCTAACGTGTGTTGGTACGACATGGACTTTTAATGTCGGTATACACTTGCGTAATGTGTAAATCAGGAACGAGTGCGTCACCATGATATGTGGGAAAGTTGAAACGGTAAACGGGTTTTGAGAACTAACAAATTGTAAACGTGCAACATTTCTAGAAAACTTATATTCGAAAAAATCTTAAACTTTAGTTAGTGGATACCGGATTTAAAAAGATCACTCGTGAAATAATTCCACACTTTAACATTTATGTAGTGGATAAGAGAATCGAAAAAGACATAACAATAAATTATATGAAAGTCGTCTCTAAATAGGATTTTAGGATGAAACAAAACTGTTTTTAGAAAAATGTCAATTCTAAAAATATATCAGTTTACTTTTTTTTTTCTTTGAAATTGTGGTATTTTGGAAAAAAATTAATTTTGTAATATAATAGGATTTTTCTGAGAAAATTATCATGTCTATTTTTTGAACTATTAAATCTAGCAATTTGTATTGTCACTGGCCTAAATATTCTAGTTACAACATCTTAAAAACATAAAACAAAATCAAGAAAAAAAAAAAAACGGAATTTCTCATATTTAGTTCAATTTCTGTTTATCATATTATTTCATTTTAAGTGATATATATTCTATATTTTTCTGTAAAATTATCAACTATTTTTTAGTTAACATTATAATAAATAATTGATCTTTTCGAATTTGCATTAAAATTTTATATAAAGTAGGAATATAACAGGTAATACACAAGTTTTTTTTTTTAAAAATCTATAATAATCATTAAAGTGATAGAGAGTAATTTAAATCGATCTTGTTCAATTTGGTTATACGGCGTCATAGTGTCATACATTCATTATCGAGACCAATCGTCCAAGAATCTCGGATCAGAGGTTGTAGTAGCGTCCATGTTTCGGCAAAAAAAATATTATATTTGTATAAAAGCTATAATCTCACCAGTAATTTTTTCTTCATGATTTAGTTAATTTAATCTCAACCTGTCCAGTAATAATTTTCTTTATTAATCAGTTGTCCTATAATAGTGAAGTGACACACACACACGTATATAACGTATGTTTAACAGTCAAAAGGAATCAAATATAAGAAATGTATCTTTTTTTTTTTTTTGTCATCTGATAAATATTAAGAAAGAGTAACAGAGTATAGAGTTACAAAAGCCAAACTAAAACAGAGACATAAACAAAGGACAGAAACCTAAACGAAACTATAAAAAATTAAACTTTGCTCTCCTCAAACACTTGATTGTGAAGCCATGAAGGCTCTCCAAGTGCTATGTAAGACTGAAACCTTCTGTCTCGAATCACACTCCGAGAAATGGATCGCGCGATCAGATTTGCGTTTGTGGCAATGTGACGGAATGTACAAGATTCAAATGCAGCAGCAACTTCATGGATTTGTGTTAACCAATTTCTATAGAAAGGCCATTTGGACGGCTGCAAAACGGCGTTAACGGCAGCTGCATAGTCCAACTCCATTATCACCTTAGAGACGTGAATATCTTGCAAAGCTTTCAAAGACCATAAAATGCAGCGCAGCTCAGCCCCTGTTCGATCTCTAATTGGCGTAAACGCATCTCTTGCATGATGTTTAGCTTGCCCTATATGATCTCTGACAATCCAAGCTCCTCCACACATTGATTCTTTATTTATCCAAGAAGAATTCAGATTGCATTTAAGAATACCTGTTTGGGGTTTCCTCCATTTTTTCTCCATCCAAATTGGAGTTGATTGCCGAGAGAATAATGTCGAAGGCTGCGTATTCACCATTGTCCAATGCATTGCGTCTTCATACGCTTTTTGAACTAAAGCTTGAAAATTCCATACCTTTCCTTCGAAGATCGTACGATTACGATTCTTCCAGATTGCCCATAAAACCCATGGAATTGATATTCGAGTTTGCTCTGGTATATGCTTGTCCTCGATTACATTCAACAGATGAGAGAAATTTGTGAGCAAGGATGTTGAAGAAAAACCTTGGTCCGGAGCTGGAACTAATGCTAAGCCTAATATACGACTTGAGACGGCACAAGAAAACAGAACATGACATATCGTTTCTGTAGTTGTACCACAAATTTGGCAATTTGTGTCAAGTGGAATTCCCCGTGTGCTTAAGCGTTCTGCCACAGCCAAAGCACCAGAAAGAGCACGCCAACAGAAAAGCTTGATTTTTGGCTCAGTTTTTAGATTCCATATTCTCCTTTTAAGCATATTAATCTCTGCATTTTGGGCAATATTCTCAACTGGAGGAAGAAGAGGGTGATTGGTAATGAACCAATAACCACTTTTCACTGAATAATCCCCATTATTATTGAAAGCCCAAACATAATCATCTTCCAAAACTTGAGTTGGTACCATTGCCGTTATCAGAGCTATATCTTGTGGGAGGAAAAGCTCCTCTAATTTGTCCATTTTCCAACCATCTGCATCAAACAAATTAGAGACCTTCAACCGTAGATCAAAATAATATTGTTTACTAGCTGGCGGTCTTGGCATCGAATCATTTATCCATTTCTCAAACCAAACATAGGTTGAAGAACCATTCCCAATCACTTTAAGCAGACCCCTTTTCAACAAATCTCGACCATGGAGAATGCTTCTCCAAGCATATGATGGTCTTGTACCATTTCCACATTCTAGTATATCCTTGTTGCGGAAGTATCTGGATTTGTACAATTGTGCCAATAAAGAGTTAGGTTCTCTAAGTATTCTCCATGCTTGTTTAGCTAAAAGAGCTTGGTTAAAATCTTCTAAGTCTCTAAACCCCAAGCCTCCTTTATTTTTTGATTGACACATCTTCTTCCAAGCTACACAAGGGATTTTTCTTTTTCCTTCACAACTATTCCACCAAAACGCAGTCATTGCTGATGTTATCTTTTTACATAGGTTCTTTGAAAGGCGGAAACATGACATCGCATAAACAGAAAGCGCCATGCCAATCGACTTAAGCATCACTTCTTTTCCCCCAAGAGATAAAGTTTTTCCAAACCAACCAGATAATCTACTACGCAGCTTATCTCCAATGAAAGCAAAAAGGGCCTGCTTGGAACCGCTGAAACATTCAGGTAAACCGAGATATTTTCCGTCTCCACCTTCCTGCGAGATGCCAAGTATGCTTTTTATACTATGTTTTGTGATATTATCAATTTTAGCTCCAAAGGAAACAGCAGATTTCTGAAAATTTATTCGTTGTCCCGAAGCGTCTCCATAAAGCTTTAAACATCTTAGAATTTCAGAACTCTCGTCTATGTTTGCACGACATAAAAACAAACTATCGTCCGCAAACAAAAGATGTTGAATTGAGGGGCTTGAACTATGTAATCTGAGTCCCGTTAGTCTTTCGGCATTCTCTGACTGCTTCATAACATTTATTAGCGCCTCGGCACAAAGAATAAACAAGAATGGAGATAGGGGATCTCCCTGTCTTATACCTCTTTCAGGTTTGACAAAACCATGAGCTGCTCCATTAAGTAATACTGTGTATGTAACAGATCTTACACAGAACATAATCCATTCAATCCATTTCCTGTGAAAACCCATTCGCATAAACAATTTCTCTAAGAAATTCCATTCCACGCGATCAAAAGCTTTCGACATATCTGTTTTTATCGCCATAAATTCTGAATCACATCTCGGATTGGTTCGTAAAGCATGTATCATCTCATGGGCAATGAGTATGTTGTCTGATATTAGACGTCCAGAGACAAAGGCACCCTGTGTATTAGAGATAAGCTTTGGGAGAATCCGCTTCAGCCTTGTGGACAAGATTTTAGAGATTATCTTGTATAAAACAGAACAAAGACTAATTGGTCTCAAATCAGTCATGCGATTTGGATTCTGCGTCTTTGGGATTAAACAAATCTGAGTAAAATTCCAGTCTTGAGGAAAAATCCCGGTTGCAAAAAACTGCTTAATCTCCGAAGTAACTTGTTCACCTATTGTACCCCAGAAAGACTGATAAAAAACAGCTGTCATGCCATCTGCTCCTGGAGCGCTTTCTTTTTTAATTCCAAAGACTGCCCGTCTTATCTCTTCATCAGAAACAGGAGCTATCAAGTCTTGATTCATCTCTTCTGTAACCCGTTGTTCCATTCCTTGTAGAAGTTCATCTATATTCGTAGGACATGAAGATTGGAACAAATCTCGAAAAAACTCAGTAGCAATGTTCCCTTTTGAACCCTCTGAGAACTGTTCAACATTATTGGAATCTAGCAAATAAGGAATTTTATTCTTAAGCCTCTGAAACTTAACACATCCATGGAAATACTTTGTATTTCGATCTCCTTCATGTAACCACTGTTCTCTACTTTTATGCTTCCAATAAAGTTCTTCGTCCCTAGCTGCTTTTGTCAATTCCCATTTCAAATTAGAGAGCTTCTGAAAATTTGGGTACCTCTTAGAAGATTCTGTCTCAAATTCTCGACTCAAATTCTGAATTAAAGAACCAGAGTTTTGGTTGGTAGTCCGCTTCCATCTAGATAAAGCTTTTCGACATGACGCTAATCTATTAGCCAAAGTCTTGTTCTGATTGGTGTGTGTATATTCCCAACCTTGACGGACTACTTCTCTAATTTCAGGTTTCGATAACCAACGTTTATCAAAGCAAAATTTTCCTCGAAAATCAACATCTGCTGCAGCTAAATAAGTTAATGTTGGACGATGATCAGAACCTTCTTTATCAAGATATAGCATATGCGTACGAGGGAATAAGCGAAACCAATCATCATTTCCAAAACTTCTATCTAAACGACATTGAATCCAAAGATTATCTCTTTTTCCTGCCCAAGAAAACCGATTACCAGAACTTGGGATTTCACGTAAACGACAGTTTCTAGCCATCGTTCTGAAAGGATAAAAGGAAGATTCTGGTCGTATTGGCCCTCCAAGCTTTTCTGAATTATCTATCAATTCATTAAAATCACCACTTAAAAACCAAGCTTCATCACGTTGTATACCTATTCGTGTGAGTTTATCCCATACTTCTTGTCTGAAGTGTCTAGCAGGGTCCCCATACACAAAAGATATAAAGAAGGTGAGAGAGCCATACTCAATCTTTGTGTCAACAACTCTATTATCTGACGATAAAATCTCCACTTTATAGGAGTCTTTCCAAAACAACGCAAGTCCACCACTAAGGCCAATCGGATCTACTAAATGAGAATGATCATAGCCCATCCATTCTTTCACGCTCAAAACGTGATCACTGGAATTTTTAGTTTCCATGAGGAACAAAAAATCTGGGTAATGTTCTCGACGAAGTGCCTTAAGACGTCGAACCGTCAAGGGGTTCTTCAATCCTTGACAGTTCCAACAAACCGCACTCATATCTATGGATTGGATAGCTTCCAGATAATCACCAAACTCAAATCTTGTTAACAGCAAATTTTATGGGAACACAATAATCTACTGATAATCAACAAGATTCACAATTGGAATAGTTGAAATAGAAACCCCAAACTAAAGAAGAGTATAAGAACGAAAAACCTGATGAAATTTCAGATTCTAGCAGAAGGATATTCAGTGGTTTAGCCCAAAAGAGGGACGGCTTTTTGTTATTTCAAATTCCGGCAGAAAACAGAAAAATCTCCGGTGCTTTAGCTCAAAAGAGGGACGGCGCTTTGTTACTTCAGATTCCGGCAGAAAACAGGAAAATCTCCGGTGATTTAGCCCAAAAGAGGGACGGCTTCCATCTCAATTCAGAGAAAATTGCATCAAAAGAACAACGGAACACACGGCAAGTGAACGGAGTGAAACGGCGGCGAAATCGCGTACCTTTACGCACGGCAACTAGTCAAAAAAATGTTTTGATTATAGAAATGGTCGGTTTAATAACTTGTCCTCTTTGTATCGTATATTTTTATCAAACTGAAAGCAGAAGAAACCAATCGTCCAAGAATCTCGGCAAAAGAATATTATTTGGTGACACTTTCATCTCAACCAGTTGTCCAATAATATTTTTTTTGTTTGTCAGCAAGATTAAAAAAATAATATTAACGGACTAATAATAATGATTAATGAATTAATAGTCAAACTAATAAATAGTGAAGTGACAATCGTAAACGTATGGTTTTAATAGTCAACATGAATCGAATAGAACATATGTATCTTCCATGTATGACGCCATTCTCAATAATGTATTTACAATTTGGGAATCTAGGTTTGGGTTGGAAACTGCTCGTGAGAGGTTGGAGAAGATAGAAAATCAATTCTTGTGAATTCAAAATTAACATCAGGACTCAAGATCCAAATGCTGTTTATTTTCAAAATGAATTTGTTTTGCAGTTTGAATTAAATTTTGTTTACTTTAGCTGTAAAAATTTAAATTTATTTCCAATTGATTTTTTTTGAAGTAATAAACTTATAAGAAATGATGATGAGGATTTGGTGATGATGATGTGGATGTGATGATTTGATTAGGACATATGCAAGGGTGAAACTTATAAGATATATCTTAAGAAATTAAATTATTAAAATAATATTAAAAGTGGTCCCACATGGAGAGAGAAAGAGACGCAAACTCTAGTTGCCAAAACTAAAATTTTCTGAAAAATGAAACCTTTCCACTCAGGGTTTGCCACGTGGAGCAAGATCACTCTAAGACCTGATCTTGCGGAAGATCTCCCCCAGTGTTTTAACACATTATTCACATTATTTACAATTTTTTTAACCCGTAGACCATCTTATGTATTCTCCCGTTAAATATGGACTTATGAGGATGTAATGATGATATGATGAAGATATAATGATAATGTGGATGATATCAAGACAATGATGTTATGATGAATAACTTTTTAGACTCGATAATATCATTGGTACACGAAATACCATTTTTCATAACTCTTGAATAGATGTCCTTAACCGGGCCTTGTGACCTAGTGGTAAAGTGGTCACAGCTGTGACTTCCGCCACCAGGGTTCGAGGCACGACCACTGGCAGGTTTACTAGAGGAATTGCCAGCCTCGTGTGATTAGTCCTTGGGCCTAGGAAACATTTGGGAGACCCGCAGTTATTCAAAAAAAAAAAAAAATAGATGTCCTTTGATTTTTCTTCGTTTTAATACTTGGGCAATATTCATAACGTCAATACTTAAATATTCATAAAACTAACTAGATGAATATTTATGAATATATTCATAAACGAGAGTCTACTTAGCAAATCTGAACTTCAAAATCCCCGAAAGACAAGTTGATTAAAAACGAGAGATTCTCCTACTAAAAAAATTAGTCAGATTCATGGCATAACTAGATCTTAAATCAGGAATCAAAATATAGCATAAGGATCCCAATAATCACAAATAAATTTCCAGTTTATAATAAGAATCTATCTAAACAACAAAGACAGAAATAATCATACAGAAAGAGCATCAGACATCAAGCATCACAAAAAGACGGAAAAGACTTGTTACCCGGCTC